TCTACTTAGATACTATTTCCTTGACTTCCATTTTAAAATGCTGAACTTTTCATTCTTATGCTAGCTATTTTTTATTGCCAAGCTATATCTCTCTTGCACGTAGTTCAAGAGAAGTACTTATCAGCAAGTTAAAACTAGCAATGAACAAATTTTCCAATACACATTTAAGCAAGCTTTTACTATCTACCTTTTTCCTCTAAGTTTTCCCCAACTCAGGTACCAGATTGCAACTCTCATCATCCTCAGCTGAGTAATGACAATTTGTTACACAAGAACTCAGATAAAATGTCATCTCCCCTACCCAAAGAAGAAATTAACGCTAACAGTTTAAAGACTTTTATAACAGAAAAGCTCTGCCAAATAAGTGCAGAGAATCCTAATCAACAAATGCTTATCTTTAAAAGGAAACACATTGGAAATATAGTAATTCCTGCTGTCTTTTATGCCTTTGATGTCTAAAATATTTTTGAAAATAATTATTTCTGTTTCATTTTCTTTTTTTAATCTCACAAATTACTTCAGTTTTTAGATCTTTCTCAGCTCACTGGTCAGAATGGTCTCTGAAAAAGTAATTATATGTAGAAAGGGAGGAAGGGGTTGGACTTAACATGTTAGGAACATCATACACCATTATATTGCCTTGCATTTTTAGTATATGTCTCAAGCTAATTGAAACTTGCAATTATATATTTTTAAAATCATGCTATTTTTGGAATGGTTTTTGAAGATACTTCAGTTTTATGTGCAAAATTGGCATAAGTATAATTTAAAGCAAATCAGAGCACATTACAGCAAGGCAGATCCTTGTCTGGAATAACAAATGACACGATTGGATAATTTCTTCTGCAGGATGCCTGCCAATGTAGAAATCTTTGCAAAACAATTTCTTCTCTCACAATACGTTTTATGATTGATGGCTGTCTAAATCTGTGCTAATGAAAAATACAGCGTTTGTATGTTACAAATGTCCAATGGTTGGGATTCTCTCTACCATGGCTCTTCTGTACACAATAATTACATCTGTATGTGTATTACCTTCCTCCTTTCTAATAGGTTGAATCAGTAATGTCCATGGCCACTGCCAGCCCAAGTAGAAAAATACTAAATCACACAATCAGCAAAATCGGATAGGATGCAGTCCTAAAGCAGAACCACTTCAGAACAAAAATGAAATGCCACATATCTGAAAGCTCCCAAGCACTAGAAAAAATCTGTTACAGAGAAGATGATGTTTTTGTTCTATATTTTGCCAAACAGGCAGTTATGCTCCTCAGTTAATCTTAAATCAAACCAGTTTAGACCACTTACCAGAGATTTTATTCTTACAATCTTTTACATTACTTTATAAACATTATTTGTAGTAGAAAAACAAGGTATAAATTGTAGAACTTAAAAAGAAATATAAAAATGTGTTGTAGTCCTGGTGACTCTACAGTAGACTTCTCCGTGTTAGTGGCCAAGGTTTGGAATGAAACTTAAAGCACATTTAGTTGGGCAGAATTACAGTGCTTTGTGCACAGGCAACTTTGATTGATTGTAGTGTAGTTCTTGTGGCTTTTTTCCTGCTAGCACAAGCAATAAAGGGGAAGGAACATGGCCAGAGCAGACATCCTGCTCATTCCCCAAGTAGAAAATGCTTCTGAAGGGGAGTTTATTAAATATTTTATTCATTATGTTGGCTTATAGGTTGCTTCACTTGTAGCCACTTCTATGTGGTGAACACTCCAGCTCTGTAATAAAAAAATCTAGAAATAGCAATAGCACTTGCATACTGCTTTACAATGCTTTACAGCCCTGTCTAAGTGATTTACCGAGTCAGCACATTGCCCCCAACAATTTGGGTCCTCATTTTACCGACTTTGGAAAGATGGAAAGCTGAGTCAGCCTTGAGCCTGGTGAGATTTGAACTGCCAAAATGCAGGCATTCAACATAGAATATCCAACATTCCTTTGTTGGCTAATGAAATGTGCACAAGCAAACAACCAAGCACAGAGATCACCAAGAACTTCACAGTTCCACTATGAGCTACATAAATTCTGTTCTATGGGATGGGATAGGAGGGGATGAGAGGGGACAGAAGCTATACAGCAGATATTTCTTCTGTCCAGTCTGTCATAAAGCAACCTTTCTTTTAGGTTCACATACTTGAAGTTTCTGCTCTTATTTAGTTCATGATAATATAACTGAGTTGCATTTCTAGAAGACTATGATTACAATCATGGCTAGCCTTATCTCTGACAGCTCAACATTTTAGATAAAATCCAAATCCTGTATTCATTTTATATATCATCCCAATGCAAATAAACAGTTATGGTGTAACAAACAAACAAACACTTGGTTAAAGCAGAGCATGGTATTAATTCTATTAGAAATTTGGCCCACATTTGAAGACCAGTGTACTACAAATGGTATCCATAAATCTTTTTGGTTTTTATGTATACATTGCTTACATCTTGTGCAAATCTTTGCTGGAGACAGCATATGGCAGGACTTGCCTCTCCTGAAATGTCAGAATGTATTTTCCTGTCTTCTGCTGCAGATTAATTAGCATATGGGGCTTTGGGGAGAGCTTTTGAAAGCATATTTTTAAAAATAGACTTAACCTGCAGTTTTCATAGTAAGATAGTTTTTGCCAAGATGTAAGCCAAGTCTGGAGGAAACTTGGCCGCTCCAAGAATTGTATGAAGCCCAAAGACGTTATTGAAGATAAACATTTTTAATTTGGATATGTAAATTACCTTTTTGGAAAAGTCCAAAAAGATTAGCTCAATCAAACCAGTACGTCAGCATGCCAGCTTTTGAAATGATGCACATACACACCTGCTGCGAGTGGCTAAATGCATCTCTCCTCCTGTTCCCAGTTAATAGTGCTGCCATACTAATGGCATTAAATGAAGTTAATATATATTTTCCCATGCTGATTCATGTAAATAATATCTCATGTTTATTAATATATGTCACATATATCTTGTCTTTCAGGAAAATAACCACCACTCCAACTTTAATCCAAATAGTGCCAGGATCTGCATCAAGCCATAATTCCAGCACACTGATGACACATATGGTAACATTACTGTGCAAATTCAGAAATTACATGCTTTTTGCTAGAATTCCTGATGCACATATATCAGAGGTGGAATTTGAATGATGACATTGCTGTGTACTTATATTATTTTCCCCACCTGTAAACTTCCAGGCTAGGTAGCATAGAGCAATTTAAAAACTTTTTGGAAAGAAAAAACAATTAACATACATCAGAATAACTGAATCAGGAGAGGCTCTGCATATTATGAATGTGAATCTGGGTATAGTGGGGTAGATGTAGCAATAGCACTTAGACTTATATGAGCCCTCCCTAAACGGTTTTCCAAGTCAGCACATTGCCCCCAACAATCTGGGTCCTCATTTTACCTACCTTGGAAGGATGGAAGGCTGAGTCAACCTTGAACCTGGTGAGATCTGAACTGCCAAATTGCAGTCAGCAGAAGTAGCCTGCAGTACTGCACTCTAACCACTGCACCACCGTGGCTCAGATTTCACTGTGGTGTACTGTAATCTGTAAACTAATCTGTAGTGGGGTACTTCCTGGTCATAATTAGGGACATTATCTGTGGATTGCATATCCTCAGAAAAAAGCCCCAGAGGTACTGTACATAATCTGGAGTGGGAGAACATGTGTCCTCTGACTAGTCTTACCAGCCTTATTGGTATATAAAGGGGGCCTTTCTTAAGATAAGCAGAGCCTAGCTCTTACATGCAACAAACAACCTCTTGTATAGGTTATTAAAATATGCTTTATGTAGAACTGCCCATGTCCTTCGTTGAGAATCTTTAGGTGGTACAGAAAGTGGTGACCACAGTTCTGAATGGAGCACCTTTGTGTGCACATTAATACAGTAATTTCATTGATTGCCATTTAGCTACTGAACCAAGCTCTAGCTTTTGATTTTAATATATAGAGCCTTAAATTATTTGGGATCAGAAAGGTTCCCTTTGTAGTTTCTGTAAGGTAATAGTAGCAGATTTCTAGGAGCAAACACTTGGATATTTTAATTTGAATACATTGAGATATTTATTTCTCAATGGTGCTGGGCAAAAATTATGAAAAGGAAGAGACACTGGTAGGCAGAAGGAATTAATATTTTACATGGCTCTTTTGTAATGAAGCAATTTTCAGTAAATGTAAACATTTTTGGTTGTATGCTTATATTATGTGTAAAATATTCTCAGGTCAAATTAAGTTAAAGGATAATTAACAAGCAATAGATCCTTCTACCTATCAGTTGGGAAATGGACAAGAAAGATAACTTCTCCTCCATTTCGATCTCACATTCTGGCAAGAAGTGCCTCCAAATTGGTAAATGAAAGACAACATCTGCATTATCAAGAAAGATCGAGTATTTGCCACCATTGCCCATCTGTCTGAAGGAGTCAACCAAGAATTACCAGTTCTGGGCTGCAAAATTCTAGAGGGCAACAAAGAATTACATTTGGGTACACTGGTTGAAAATGATGTTTCTTAACACAAATAGGAAATATATTAGGTGATCTTAAATGTAATCCTAACTGGAAGGAAAGTAAAATTTCAGACAATTCATCCCTTTCAAGCTGTTACATTTTCTTGCCATTAGGGCAAGAGATTCAAGTGTCCCTTCTATTCTTTATTGTTCTTTCTTTCTTGTTTTATCATTGAAATCAAAGGAAGGAAAATTGCCATGCTAGGCTGCTATATTAGTTACTAATCCTGTGTCAGTTTCATCCAAGGAGAACAGAGGGACCTTGGCTCCAGCAGATCCTAACCCCTGGAAAGTTATATGGTGGCTCCTTCTTCTTCTTTTTTTTAAAAGCAAAGGTTGTTTATTTGTAAATTATAGATTGCAACTTACACTTCATTGTATACTATTTGCATGCTGTGAATGTTACAATGGGTAAGTACTTGGGATGCTACATCTTATTTCAGTGACTTTTAGAATTAGTTCTAAAAACCTTTTAAACAGAATTCTTGCCATAATACTTGACTACAACACAAATGTAAGTCATCCTTTATAATTTCACCAAAGAAATACACATATGGTAGCCTAAAGAACGTAACTCTACCAAAACTTTGGATTCATTGAGGCAAAGGTAGAGCTTTTACATTGGGAACAGATTGTAAAACTTGTTTCCAAAACAACTGCCTCCTTCTTGTTTTAATCTGCATTAAGGGATCTGTCAGAACTAGTTTTTTTCATGTCAGCTTTAAGCTCTTTAACCACTTTAAGCCAATAACCACTTAGATACAATAAAAATATTGGAGGAGGAAACCTGGAAAACAACTAGTAGGATTACTTAAATCATTGTTAAGCACTTTCCATTGTATCCGCTGTGTTTGGCCTACAGTATTTGAATCAGCTTAGGTAAGTAAATCAGTTTCAGATTTAGACCATAATACATACTTTATTTCTGTGGCCCCTACAAGAGTATTAAGATTTCTTTATATTAAATATAAAGAATAAACTCTGAATTATAAGTCTTCATTATATGCTTATTGTTTTGGCAGATTTCTAACTAAACTGGAGAATGTTATGATCATATTGTTGATGATGCAATGTTTAAAAATTTCTGTCTTTTGGAAAATAAATATATGCCTGTAAACATTCAAAATTGCATTGTGTTATTTATTCTTCATGTAGGAACGGTCGCTTGTACTGCAGCTAGCAAAAATAAGTTAGTATTATCATCTCAATAGGCTGCCTACAGACTGGACAAGGTTTGTTCCTTTTCTTCAGCTTTTTTGCACATACAAAACATGACATTAAATGTCCTGTCCTTCCATGTACTATGCAACCATTTTTAGGTCTTGTTTGACATCTGACACAAAGCTCTACACTGGAGACAGGCTTCCCCAGTTCCAGTCTTTCTTCTTTGTCTTCCATGTTTTCTTTCTCAGATTCTTTATAGTCTTGGCTACTACAAAGCATACTGCTAGATGTAGATGGCTGTGAATATGCTTCACTTTCCTGAGATTCAGGGCTTTGTTCTGCAGTTTCTTCTTCCTTATCCTCATTAATTTTCCCTTTCTTACAGTCAGGAACATCAAAGCCCTCCTCAGGATATAATGATGAGGGATTTAGAAATGTGCTCTTCTTGGCTGTCTCAGTCTTTTTAACGGGAAGCCAATCCTTCCGAAGAGTCCAGCATCATGGGCAATGGGATGGAAGAGATACTTCCGAGTTTCTGCCCGAGGTGGTGGCTCCTACTGTTGATGCATATGTCACCTGTGGTAAATGGAAGTCATCTTCTGTTAACTCTGTGAAGCATCAGATGAAAATGCAACTCCAGAATCATCATCTCTTTGCAACTTTTTTTTTTAAGAACAAGTTTTATTGATTTTTGAAGACAAACAAAACATAACACATAGAAGTATAAAACCTCCTTTCTAAGAATTACTTATAAATTTTAACAAGGCAAATAAAGCATTATTTTTTTAAAACATCACATTTCCATTTACACATATATATATCTTTTCCAAATTTCTCATTATTTCTCCCTTCACTTTTATTCAATTATATTTCTTTCTATCAAAGTTTTAGTAATTCTCAATCAGTCATAAGCACACAAAATACATAACCTAAAGCAAAACATTGAAGAAGAAAAAAAAAACTCCTTAGTTATCATTTATACATGTCTTTTCCCAATTTCTCTCCCTTTGATTTCATTTCTCCAAGGTTTTATTAATTTACAATCAAACATTAATAATCAACACACAAAACATAGAACATAAAACTTCTTTTGAAAAGCCACGGGCTAGAACAAGATTTTAAAAAGAATTTTTTTTTTTAGAGACGAAGGATGATGGATAGGGTATAATTAAAGAAGATTCTGCAAGAGTGCATAAGATAGTATTGCAGTATTTGCATTTGAAATAGTTTATTGGAATATTTAATAAAATATTGATGTTTAATAATGATAGATGTTGATATTTAATAAAATATTAGGAGAATGTGTTAAATGATTCATGCTTAGTTATAGTTTAATTTGTTACTGTCTTAATGTTATTATAACTTTGGTATTTTATTTTTTTATTCTAAAACAATGTACTTATTAGAATTAGAATTAGAATAGAAATTATACATTTAACTGTACTATAAGTTTACTATTTTTTTTATTTTAAGATCTCTTTGCAACTTTTATCATGTTAGCCATGAGTTGAAATAGCAAAAGATTCCTTTTGAAAGCCTGTTTTTTTTCTCATTGCTGGATTTTCTACACAAGATTTTATATTTTGAAACGGGACTGTTTTTTTCCCCTCCACCTATCCTTTCTCTCCTTTTTGACTTTATAATATTCTAGGCTAGAGACTCCCTTCTAGCCATCTTTTTAAATATCTTTTCCCCCTTTTAATTAATTTTTATTATATCTTGTTTGGAAAAGGAGGGGGAAAGTGAAAGCAGAAGAAACTTTGTAACACTGCCAACTAGAGGCTTGGAAATATTCTATCTCTTTTTTTTTTTTTCTTGACCAGACGAAGCTGAGAAAGAACTGAGATTCTTTTTCAAGGACATTGCCTGTTTGATAAGATAGAGGGAAGAACATGGGAGAGTATTATTGCAGGTGCTCTTCTGGGTTTCTCTCAATATCTGGAGTCTGGTGTTGAAGTTTATAGAAAAAAAAGGTGATAAGACACTGGAGAAGAGAGTTATAAACTTTAACAAAAGCCTTGGATAACCAAACAAGGTGCAGTGTGCTCTTTCTACTTTTTTTAAGCTGGGTGATTTCTTATTTTAACAAACCCCCTCCTTACTAGCTTACTTTTTGTAATAGCTATTTGGATTTTTGGCCTTTTGGAACTTGTTTTTCTTTTTGTTTTGAAGTCTAATTTTTATGTTTGCATTTTATTTTAAAGGAAAAGCTTTAGTATTAATGATTTCCTTCCTTTTTTTCTTCTTTTTAAGGGAGTAGTCTCTTTTCTTTTCTTTTCTCTCCCTCCCTTGTAATTTTTTTTCTATTTATCTTCCATATTGGTGTTTTTTTTTTGTGGCTTTCTTTTTTTTCTTATGCATTCTTTTATACCCGAGACTTTTTCATTGGATTAAGGTGTTGTAAAACCTGAAGAACTTTTCTTTTCTCTTCTTTAGTTTTTTATTTTCTACTTTTCCGCCTTTTCCAGGATTTAACAATTTTTTCTTTTTTGTGTGTGTTTATGGTCTTTTCTTCCATTTTTGAGTTTTTACTGCTATCTAACCAATCGATTGGATTAAGGTATACAAGAACCTGAAGAAATTTTATTATTGTTGTTGTTATTATTTGGCTTCTTTTTTCCCACTATTTTTACTTGGAATTACAATTGGTTATTTCACAAGTGGATTAAGGTCTAGAAGAACCTGATGATTTTGAATTGTCCGAAATGAGTAGGAAACTAACAGCCCCTGGTTCTTCAATCTTTACTTCTTCCTCTTCACCATCTAGAGGACAATGCTCAATACAGACGAAGTTACAGCAAGAAAAAGAACAGGAAAAAGTGACGCTGCAGATGATTATGCAAGGAATTCAAAATATACAAATAAGAACAGAGAATATTGAAAAGAGAACAAAGAACATTGAACAAAGAACAGGAAAAACTGATGAAAAGGTGGAGAACATTCAACAAATATGATGAAGTATGATGAGAGATTCCAAAAAATTGAAGAAGAAGATAAACGAAGAGATAAGAAGATTGGAGATATTGATAGCAGATTAACTGTGGTTGAACAAGATAAAAGTGGGATGTTGACATGGGAGATGGACAGATCAGAATTTTATCTCAGATTCCAAAACGTAGAGGAAGAAAAGGGACAAAACCTAGCTGAGACAATGATAGAAATTTTGGCGGAAGCTTTGGAAATAACTAAAGAGAAGATGATGGATGGAATAGACAAGGTTTATCAAGTCTTCTAAAATCCACACGTGGTTGGAAAAAATGACAAAAAAGCATATAGATTTGAAACCAGAGATATTTTTATTGGGAATTTTACCTGAAATATATAGTAAAGAATTGAAATACCTGATTGTAAATGGATTAACAGCAGCTACGATTGTATTTGCCAAAAACTGGAAAAATGAAAAAAATACCATTACAGGAGGAAATCATTAAGAAAATATTGGAATGTGCTGAAATGAGATAGTAGATTGACATTTGAAATCAGAGAACAAGAGGATAAACAATTTTATAAAATTTGGGATCTATTCTATCAATGGTTAGACAATAAAACATGGTAATGAAATATGTAGACTTTTAAAAAATAATAAATATATAAAGATGTATTATTTTCTTATTATATCTACAAAATGATTGTAGGATAGATTTGAGATGATAATATGAACTGTCATAAAACAAATTAAGTAAAATATGGATTATTTTGTAAAACATAAATGAATAAAAGTATAGTCAAATGATTGATTAACAATGATATTAATGTATTTAATATTTGATTGAAAAAATGAGAATATATACAATGTAATTGTAATTGAAGACTACAAAATGGAAGCACAAAACAATTTGTAACCAACCAACACACTGTATGTATATATATATATGGATGATAGCTTGATGTTTTTATGCTTTGTTTGTCTATGTTTGTCTTAAAAACCAATAATTTTTTTTTAAAAGATGCTGGTTACAGTGGTGAGATTCAAATTTTTTTACTACCGGTTCTGTGGGCATGGCTTGGAGTTCATGGCATGGCTTGGTGGGCATGGCATGGTGGGCGTGGCTTGGTGAACGTGGCAGGGGAAGGATACTGTAAAATCTCCATTCCCTCCCCACTCCTGGGGGAAAGTTACTGCAAAATCCCCATTCCCTCTCCACCCCACTAACCTGCTTTCCAGCTTCGTTCTCCTGTGCAGGGCAACAAAAGAAGACCCAGCCAATCAACTGGGACTTGGGAGGCAGAGAATAGATAGGGGCAGGGCCAGTCAGAGGTGTTATTTCCTGGTTCTCCAAACTGCTCAAAATTTCCACTACTGGTTCTCCAGAACTGGTCAGAACCTGCTGAATACCACCTCTGGCTAGTTACCACTTCATGACCTCATGATCTTGTCTTCATCTCAGGAGAACCCTCAGTTGAGCAACTTGCCTCCTTCCCCAGCCCAATCTCACCCCCGTTAAAGTGAATGATTGGTGAATATTAATTTTCTGGCAATGTTTAGTGAGAGGGAAGCCAGGAAGTTCACCAGTCCCTGTCCTTAATATGCCCTGTACTCTGTAAAAAACAGAAGAGTGTTATTTGCTAACATTATAGATGGAGGAAAGGAACTCTTCTTTTCAATTAGAATTCAGTGGACAAAAGTTGTTAATTGAATGGAATTTGCTGTAAATGACTATGTCATACTTTGTTGCACACTTAACAAAAAGAAGAGTTTAGAATGTGTTGTGCTGCAAAGAAATTCTCATCTAATTCAGAAGTGGCCAAGACTACATTAAAAAAAGAAAAAAACATGATTTTATTATAACTTTTTACCCTTCAGTCATCAAGGGTAACATGGTTTACTTACCAAGAAAGCTGCTTGACCCCAGCACTCATCTTTGAAATCCACATATGAGTTTCAGTGACTCATATATTTAGTCAGGTTTTTAAAAAAACGAATTAAAGGTATAGATCAAATAGACTTTAGGACTGATTTTATATCACCTGCTTTTATTTCTTCCCAGATGAAGTGATTTTGCAATATTACATCAACAAATCAAAATTAAGTCACGTTTACACATGCATATTTTTTGTAGTGATTAGTTTTTATTGATAAGAGGATATATAGAGATTAAGAAAAACATAGCAGTACTATATATTACAGGGAAAATAGCTACCTGGCAATTTGCTTAACACTTGCATTTATCTTCCCAATCTATCTGGCATATGTATTTGAAAAGAATAAATTGTCCTGCCCTTCACTGCTTAAATGTAGTCAATTATTGTAGCCAGCAATCTAATTATGCTAATAAGGAAAGATTAAGGTGCATTCTAAGTAGTAAGAAGTTTCACTGAATGGCCATTTTTAACCTAAACTCTCCTAGACTTCTAATCAAGGGGAGGTAAATGGAAAACGTATTGTCTTATATTTTAGCCTTCCAAGAACTTGTAACAGCTTACTTATTTTGACAAATTTATAGGGAATGATAGGATGCCCAAAATAATTCAAGGTATTTTATGCTCTGGTTTCTAGT